AGTAAGTAAGTAAGTAAGTAAGTAAGTAAGTAAGTAAGTAAATAAATAAATAAATAAATAACATATTAAAGCTTACTAGAAGAAAAAGCTGTTTCAATAACCAGTAACTTTAATGTTAAAAAATTAAATATGAATCTTCATGAAATCAGTCACTTAGTATTATAAATTAGCACTCAGAGTAATTGACGTTCTAATATAAATCTGTATTATAACATTTCTAGTGATTTAGAAAATTACTTGAGGATCCAACTGTAAGCCACAGTAGTTTTGGGTTTTTTTCTTTTTGTTTTTTCAAAATCAAGTTGATGCATGTTTCTTAAAGCCATACCCTTTTCTGCCATGGAAAAGTACTCTTTTTCCTGTTAATTTAATTTAAGTAAAGGGTGCAAGGGCTGTTTCCCATGACATACAACAAACCTGATTCTACCTATTTAGCAACATTCCCACAGAATTTAATTAACTGTCCAATCCCTGCATATTGGTCTCATACCACTATTATTATTTGATGTGGGGTTTTTTTCCCCCTTAAATCGATCCTTGAATCCAAACTGGAATGCACACATTTCTCAGTGCTGGAAATTTCTGATCTAGGGATTAAGAGTATAGTTTATTCATTATTGTAGATCAGTTGACTTGGCTAATGACTTTTTGGGCATTAGAACAAGGAGCTATTACTTGAGAAGCTGGACAGAAATAGAAGAGATGGAAACAAACCCCAAAATAATTTGTTTATTTAAATGCCTAGTTATCTTTGTCAACATAACTGGAACTTCATATATACACACTAATTGAAGTGTGTTAATCATTGTTATGGATTGTTTACTACTGACCGGTAATAGGAAACTGACTATTCTGACCTGGTTATGGTTAAAAGCTAAAGCTATTTCAGAGTATCCTTTCAGTTCCTTATCAAACTGTTCTGAAAAGGGGAAAGACAATTTCTTGCTGAAGTTATATCCTGTTCTTAATTTCTTTTCACAGCTGCTGAATGGAGTGCTAACTCAGGAGCTGCCTCACCAAATATGTTTCAGGGAAGCCACAGACGCACTCCCTCGGAGGCAGACCGTTGGCTGGAAGAAGTATCTAAAACTGTCCGGTCACAACAGCCTCAGGTGCAGTCCCAGCCTGCAGCTCCCCAGCCGCTCCTCCAACCTCCTGCAGTGGTTTCGCAGGCAGCATCATCTTTTCCAGGTGGCACCTTCATTGCACCTCCACCAGTACCTATTGGGGTGGTGCAGCCCATGCAGCCTACGTTTATCCAGGCTCAGCCATATGCTGTAGCAAATGGAATGCCCTATTCAGCTCCCAGTGTAACCATGGTTGGAATCACCCCTTCCCAGATGGTGGCCAATGTCTTTGGCACTGCAGGTCATAGTCAAGTGTCCCACACTCAACAGTCACCCAGTCTTATAAAGCAGCAGACATTTCCTCAATATGAAACTAATAGTGCTACTGCCAGCCCTTTCTTTAAACCCGCTGCCCAGCAGCTCAATGGTTCTGCTGCTTTCAATGGTGCGGACCCTGCCAAGTGGCCCACAGAGGACAAACATGTGCTTCCGCCTGTAGCTGTCCAGCAAGTGGATCCATTTGAAGCACAGTGGGCAGCACTGGAAAGTAAATCGAAACAGCGTACTAATCCGTCTCCAACTAATCCTTTCTCCAGTGAACTACAGAAGACATTTGAGATAGAACTTTAAGCAATCCTGTGGCTTGTACTTCATCTCTGTGTATGTGTGTGTTGGCATTGGATGTAAGATTGTACTAGGGGCAGCATTTTTAATTGCTCATGTCCCTCTCTTTGGAATTAGGTTGGGGATATAGAGAGGGGACAGTCATGGGAAGAGGCTCCTAAACCCAGCCTTTTGGGGTATAATCCAGGAAACATACCCTTGCCACCTGTTTGGGAACTTGAATGGCAAAAGGAATCTGAAAAGGGCTGAAGAAGGGAGCTGAACCTGAAGCCCTTTTTCCACAAAAACTTCAGGAAACCTCATAAGCTGAAAAGCAAATGACTCACCACTATCTTAAGAATGTGTCTACCTTCCTGTGAATGGCCCATTCCCTTGTGGAGAAAACAGGGGTTAGGGGATGGAGGCACAGTAATGCATGGGCTGGTGGAGAAAACATGAGAGCTGCTCAGAATACACTATCAGTGGAAAAGGATGAGCTTCCATTTCAAGTAATTATATATAGAATAAAGCCAAAATCTTTATTTTTATGCATTTTAGATTATTTTAAATAGTTCTAGTTATTAAAAGCTGAATGAGTTGTAAGTAATCTTGCCAAAGTTATAAAAGGGGATCGGATGTAAAATTGTACATAAGATTGATTTATCACTGATTCTTACAGTCAGTAATATGGGAATATGGTAGGGAGCAGAGTTCCTAGCTTGTCCCTGTCTGTATCATTGTAAGTAGCATATTGCAACTACAATCATGAATCATGACCAATTTTAAAAAATCATTGTAGAGTAGTGTAAGAACAGTATTGTCTTGGTTTGAAAACAATTGGTAAATTTTATCTTTTTTAAAGCAATCAGACTAGATATTAGAGTTCATATAGGTTCTTTCATGTACTGCTGCAGTTTATTTGTCTTACATCTCTTTTAACACTACTGTGACAACTGTAATTATATCTACAATCAGGTCTACTTATGAACCCATTTTAGGTGCATTAAATAGATTTTAGATTTTTTAAAATGCTTTTCCTATTGTTTTATGTGAAAGCTTGTAGCTAGGCTGCAGCTATTCCATGTCTTTCCTCTGGCAAATCATGAAGTCCATCTCATTTTTAATTTTACTCTTAAAACTTGGCCTTACAAGCAAATGTAAGTTATATATTTGTACTGATGATTTATAATCTGCTTTAACAGAAATAAATGTTGGTAGTAGATTATGTGTCTTTCTCAGCAGGTTTCCTTGTTGTTTTCCTGCAGCCAGTTTGATCTCAATTCATTTGGTGTATGTTTGATCTACTAATAGCAGGGCAAGAGATATACTCCCATTTGTATTGATTGCTTAAAGCAGGAATTGCAACTTCTGGAATTTCAGCTTGCTCTTATTTTGAATTTTGTGAGTATGATGTTTCTTACCGCCCCCAGAGGAATGTGGTTCTTACATATTGGCCACATTCCCCATTAAGTGATTATCACTGTATTATTCAGAAATGGCCCTGAAGAACTTTGTGTTTGTTCTAGAGCATTATTCACGTTCATTGTCTAGAGCCATACCTGATTTTGCTCAGTTTTAGAGTGTCTTAGTACATAATGGAACTTAATGGTATTGCTGTTTAAAATTATAGCACTTAAGTGGTTTATTTCAGTAAGAAGCATGTGTACTCTAAAACATAGCTACCTCAAATGTAGGTGCATATATGGTGATATATGAATCTAGACTATGCCATACTGCACTTGAGTAAAAAATCCCTCTCTTTTTGTCCTTGGTTTATTCATGCCTTTTGAAAATGTAAATGCATGCAATTCTCATAAAGTTGCCACGTAGACAATAATTGAATATTGTCAATGAAACATTTGTGTAGAGCCTAAATAAATTCCTGTTGGGATCAGAGGCAAGAATTTCCATAATCCGGTAATTTTGTACAGTGAATGGACAGTTACTGATTTACTGCATACAAGTCCCAATACTTTAAGGCCTTACTTCTGTTGCAGAAACACTTTTATAAAACCAGGCTTACTTTATTCTGGATCTAGGGAAAATGAGCCTCTTCTCTCAGAACATGCATTCCTTATGGGGATTGTTATGTGGAATGAATGAACAGGTCATGATCAATGGTTGATTGTTATGTTACTAATGAAGGCACAATTCTGTCTATACCATTTCATCAATACAAATTATTGAAAGTGCTTCTCTCAGATATGCATTCAACACTAATCTAGAAACAATAATAACAAGTATAACAAAAGCTGCTTTGCTATCAATTTACCACTTCTCTTTAATATTATTAAATAATAATGCTTTTCAGTCATGGGAACAGATGCTAGGGTAACCCAGATTTTGAAAAAGGGATTAGGAGGTGATGAGCTAACTGGTCTATAATTTCTTTTAACACCTGCTTCAATAAAAAATAATTGAAAATACCATTTAAACACATAGAAGAATGAGCCGTGCTGAAAACTAATCAGCATGGCTTCTGCAAAAGTAATCTTGTCTCACCAAAATTTTTGATGAAGTCACCCACCCAGCTGCCATGGAGTAAGAGGAACAGGTGTTTTAGTTGGATTTACAACTGGTGAAAGAATGAAGGAGGAATAAATCAGCAATTCTGACATTGGTGAGGTGTGTATAAGTGGGGCCCTTAGGAATCATGTTGGGACTGATGCTTTTTAACTGATATATAAATGATCTGGAGTTAGGTCTGAGCAGTGAGGTGGCTATGTTTGCTGGGAATACAGTACTGTTCAAGGTGGTAAAAGTGATTGTGAAGGGATCTGAAGGGATCTCTCCAAACTGGGTAAATGACAGTGTATAAGCAAGTATATATGGAAAGGGAAAATTTATATTAGGGCATTGGAAACAGAACTACTGATATACTAATGTCTTTACATGTACTTGTTGTGAGACCAGAGTGTTGTGTACTGTTCTAGTTGCTATGCTTGAAGCATATTATAGAATTTTAAAAGGTACAAAAAAGCACAACCAAAATGATCAGGGGATGGAGCAACTCTACTACAAAGACTATAGTAATTGGAGTTCTTTTGGACTACAGTAATTGGACTGAAGGAGAGATTTAATGAGGATATATAAAGTAATCCATGGCATGAATAATGTGGAGAAATATTTTTCTCCCTTGCTTCAGGTCATCCATTGATATAAAACATAGGGAGATTCAGGACCTAAAACTTTTTCACACAGCACATAGTTAAACTGGAATTTATTGTCAGTAGCTGGGGTAAAATTAGCCAGTTAGAATGGTTTTAAAGGGGGGTTGGCAGGGTCATGGAAGATCATACTTTTAGTGGTTATTATCTGGTATCTGTTGATTAACTGAACCATAGGTAGTATGCCTTAAAGCCTGATTTCTGGGAAACAAGTGGAATAAGACTACCATACTCCAGTTTAGATTTTATACCCCATCTTTCTTTCAAGAGCTCAATGCAGCTTAAAAGGGGATCTCCATTTTATCCTCCCCTCCCCCCCACCCCCCGTGGTAGAGGCTGGGTTGAGAAAAAGTAACTGGCCCAAATTTATCCAGTGAATTTCCATGGCTAAGGGTGAACGTGGACCCATATCTCCTTGGTTCTAGTCAAACACCCTAACCACGCCACCATACTGGCTGAGTTCCACCATGATAGCTTCTAAGATACCATCATTTAAAAAGCATTAAAACGTGCCTGTCGACTTTTCTATTCTGAAAAACTGGCCCTCTGGATGGTCGAGTGCTTTTTTAAAATGGTCATGTGCCTGTTGCAGAGTTACCTTCTCAATCCATTAAAGGGGAGGTAGAGTTAATGGATCACTGTTTTTGATGAATGGCAGTCCCTGAGGAAAACTTGTGCTTATGACTATAAATCAGTGTTTCTCAACCTCAGCAACTTTAAGATCTGTGGACTTCAACTCCCAGAATTCCCCAGCCAGCCGTGCTGGCTGGGGAATTCTGGGAATTGAAGTCCACAGATCTTAAAGTTGCCGAGGTTGAGGAACACTGCTATAGGTGATAGTAGGCGGAATGGTTTACATTTGTGAAAGAGCATCTCTTGCCGCCTCACTGGCCTTTAAAGGATAAACTTTGTACCTCCCACGGAAAATCAGTTCTGAATGCAAGACAATACAAACATGTTTGTGGACTTCAACTCCCAGAATTCCCCAGCCAGCCGTGCTGGCTGGGGAATTCTGGGAATTGAAGTCCACAGATCTTAAAGTTGCCGAGGTTGAGGAACACTGCTATAAATGATAGTTGGGGGAATGATTTGCATTTGTGAAAGAGCATCACTTGCCTTCTCTCTGGCCTTTATAAGATAATCTTTGTACCTTCCATGGAAAATCAGTTCTGAATGCAAGACAATACAAACATGTTTTGTTCTCTTAGTTTATCTATATGTCTTTGCTACAGTTAAATTATACTAACACTGAATTAATTTGCACCTTTATTGAACAAGCTGAAAAACTTGTTGCCTAGTTCATATGGCACCCGGCAGTTCTCAGATAGCAGGAAATATGGAGAAGATTGGATTGTTTCTGTTACTAAACATTCTGCATAATGTGCTGTAAATACTGGTTTGTACATTTTTTACAGGAGCAATTGATAAACGTTTCTCATTCTCAATTAAGATAGTCCCATTGTACAGTCAGATGATTAAAAAAGACATAGGTATGTTCATGGGAATTTCTTTTTCATTATTTGGTTATATCTATTCATATATCTGTAACCTGTAATGGAAGAACCCAACTATCAGAATCATATTTGCCCTCAGATGCCTGAAAATTCATGTAGTATGATTGGCATATCTCAGTATAAACCCCTCAGATATGACAGATTCTCATATTTGTTTTTCCTGGAAGCAAACCCAGTAAGTAACATTGTATTATAGATATACTTTGTTTCTAAAAGAAATTAGATTTTGAGCTACCTAAGATCTGGGAAGGTTTCGTGTTAATTGAGTCCATAATAGTGGGCTGAACGTTATAGCAGGAAACTTATGTGAGAAAAAACTGCAGATTTGCCAATAAAGTTGGCATTTCCTGTCCTTTGCATTTAAAGGAAATTATACTAGCTTATCCACAACCTTTGAGACATAGTAAATAGCCTTCTGGTCAAAGGTTGTGGATAAGCTAGTATAACTGGCAAAATTGTAGTTAACACATACAGGTTTCCCTTATGCGTTTGGTTTGTGTTTATAGTCAACCATTGAGACTTCATAGATATTGTAGATTGAATGCCAACTTGAACTTCCATAGTGCCAACAATCATCCTTATATTAAACAGTCTGGCACGTGGGATGGGATGATCAAAGAGGCAAGCTTGGTATGGCCTTCCAGGATTCTGAGGCGTCAATAACCATTTAGTTCTCTGTTGTGATACCTTGTACTCTAGTGGGGCTGCACAGTGCTTTGGAACATACAGGAGTGCAAATTCAGTACTCATCTGCGACTCCTTCAAGCAGTGGCATCTCTTTGGGGATTGTGTGGCTGCAGTAGTTGTGAGATTCTAAAAACACCACTGCTCCCACATTGCACAGTCCTCTGTTATTCATGTTTATGTAGACGAGGTATAGCAGGCTCTGTTTTCTTCTTCAAAGGCCTTACTACAATTGTATACATGTTTAATTGGAAGAGAAGATCACAGTTTAATGGACTTATTCCAAGAAATACAGCCTTGCTGTTTTAAGAGTATCCAAAGTACAAAACCTTGTCACGTTGCTTTGCATTTTCCTCTTCAGCTGCTTTGAGTTCTATATAGTTCCACAGATATTCAATATTATTTGCTGCTGCTAGTAACTCAGCATTAATCGTTTCCTGTATCTGCTGAAAAAGACATTGTCTGTTTATAACTGTTTAAAGCTAAACTGTAGGGGGACATTTGAAATAACTACAGGAAACAAGTTTCTAGGTCAGTATGCTAAATTTCCACAAAAAAAATGTGGTCAGCAGATTTTCTTCTGAGTGGGTTCTGGCATTAATTTAGTTTTATGTTTGATTTAAAATGTGTCTGCTATCCTTGATTTATCTTGAAGCAACGTTCCCATTTTTGATTCTTGTCTGTATTGTTTGTTAAGCTTTGCTAGTGAAACAGTTCCTTATTTCCTTAAATGAAAAGGTCAGCCAGCTGTTACAGGATTTAGTGCTGCTTTTGCAAAACAACATACAGCTTAGGAAGGTGGAGATACCATTTCTGCCAACTGTTCTAGCCTTAGCCATATTGACTACCCGTGTATATGCTTGATAAACAAATTGGAGATGGCTGCTTTTCTTCCGGAGCAGGATTGCAAGAGGGGTGGGGAGCCTGTGGCTCAGCCATAGCGGCGAGAACAGCTGGCACAGCAGAAGCTGGAATAATATTCATTGTTGCAGAGCTGAGCCTGTAGAATCAGATCACAGTTAGCAAGGTGTGGCTGATCAACACATTCCCTGCTTGTTTCCACAGGGAGAGATGATGGCACTATAAGAGTAAGGAAGAAGAAGTAGTCAGACAGTAGAACCAAATTTGCAAACCAGGTGTTTTTCATAATTGATTGAAAGGGATTACAGTAGTTCACTTTTTGTAATTTACATTATGACTATATAAGTGCATGCAATGGAGAATATTCTATCTGCTGCAGCTTAAACTACAATACTGTGAATGGAATCTACCTCTTGGCAAACGTTCAAATGTAGCAACAGCAAATGGCAACATCAGCATTAACTTATTTTGAGAGAAAATTGATTGGTTTCTGCTGAGAGATCCTCTAAATGGCAAACAGCTGTTTCAGGCTGAAAATAAATGCTCTCCGCTGGAACAGCAGTTACAGTTTAGTAATTCCTGAAGTCAAACTGGCATAGTTTAAAAGCCTTGACCTTAAAATTGTCTTTCAAGTAATAGTAGTGAAACCTTACTGAACTTAATAGAATTTATTTGTAAGTAACAGGAATTGGATTGTACCATTAATGATTTCATTTTCTGGATGTATGCAAAAATATTACTTTACAGGAAATCATGCAGAGCCTGGCAGCTGGAATTCTTTCCAGTCCCTTTACCAGTGGTGGCCATAGGCATGTCAGATTCTAGGCACCAATTAATAATTGTAATTACAATGGTTTATGGCATTTATATGCTGCCCAACTCCCAGCGACTTTCAGTTCTAAACTCTCATAGCATCTTCAGCCTTGGCTGGGTTTGCCATATATAACACAATCCCCAAATTGATGGATAGTCTGAGAGATTTCATATAGATAATATGGGGAAGAAGACTCCATGCTGAAGCAATTACAGGTTCAACTGCTTTCCCCCCATAATTTACTAGCTGGTACTAAAGGCTCAGGTAGAGATGGGGCCACTGCGGAACTGTGCCTCCAATCCTTGCAGGCAATCCTAAAGGATACCATGGTTGACGGTATTGATGCCACCAAGAAATCTAATAGCACCTGGAAGCATCCAAGTCATGCAAAGGATGCCCACCACAGCAACCAGTGCTTTTTCCTTCACATGATCAGGCCTGGATTGTGACTGGAAGAGATCTAGAAAATTTGCTTCTTTGGCTCTGTAGCTGATTGCCCATCACCTTCTTAACCACCTTCCTAAAAGGGAAGATTGGAGACAGGACAGAAGTTGTCTAATATTGAGAGATGGCTTCTTCAAGAGAGGGTACACTGCTGCCTCTTTGAAGGCAGGTGCTGTCTTGCCCTCACATAGACATTAACCATTCCAGATGTAAACACCTCTCTTTCAATCCTTCCATATACATAAGCTTTCAGTTAATAGTACCAGATAAAATATGAGGGTTCTATAAGAAGCCCAGAAGTATGCTTCACATACAAGATAAACCAGGAATACTTCTACAGAGGATCTACAACAGTAAAACCTTTCCCAGTCCTGGAAGGAAATGCATGTGCCACACATCTAAGGTTGCAGCTGCTGTGAAATCCTAAAACTCCAAGAAAGAAATCCCAATACTGGAGAAATTAAGAAACTTAGAATGACTATGTACACCCACCTTCTGGACGCCTTTTGATAACTTTCACATCTGTACTGGCACTGACAGAATGACTGCCACTGTAGGCATTGCAAGTATAGGAGCCCTCATCACCAATCTGAACCTTGTTTAGAAACAAGCTTCCATCTTGAGAAACATGGACACGATGACCATCTGATCTTATTGGAACCCCATTCCTATGCAGAAGTACGTAATTAGTTGTCTTGCAGTTGCTATATACTGTCCCCTAACCCTCAGTTATAAGGAAATATAGGGTGGGTTTGTATTAAGAGAACGTTCCAAGGAACACATAAATAAATGGGGTTATTTCAAATGTGTTTGAAAAACAAAATCTGGATTCTTCATCTTCTAAGTAGGTAGTAGTTGTTGCTTGATAATTTCTTACATGTTTCAGTAGTACTAAAAGGATAAGTAAATATAGCTGATTTTTTTCCTACTTACCTTGACCATCTTATGTTTACATTGTTGCCTGTCACAACACAATGAAGATGAGCATTGTCCCCTTCAGACACAGAAAGTCTGGGCAGCAGGTCAATTCTTAAGTCTCCTAAGGAGGAAAAGAGTGTCATCAAATCCAGGAAGATTTTGCTCAAGGTTGTCAAATGATGTTCTGAAAACACAGCTCTGATTGAGCAGCCCTGCTGCTTGTGTGAACTTGGCCCTTCTAGCTGAAAGACTGTCTACGTGGGAGAAAAAACACTACATCCACAATAGAATCCAACACACAGCAACATTGCGTAACCAATCACCTACAGTTAAGTATCTCTCTATGGGTCTCCTATATTGTAGTGATAAAAGCAGAAACTCTTCTTATAGCAGTATCCATACCTCCCTCCTACATTCATTCTGTCTCTCACACACACACAGGTCACTGCAGTAGCTGTTTGCAGAGCCCTACTTTCTTGTTCATAGAAGAATATTTCCATTAGGAGCCTAAACCAATTTGAATTAGCTTAACTATCACCACCAAACTGCTTAAAAAAAGGTATTGAATATTTTTCTATAACTCTTGGGCCTGGCACAATTTATAAGAAACCCTAAATATCTTATTCAGGTTATTTGATGATACCATTGATGAAACTAAACTGATCTCATACACAAAGGGTGTCATCTAGCAACCATGTAGAGATTGTTTGATTTGGATAAGCAACTCAGCCTTTCTTAAACATAGTGTTCAAACTCTGCTCATTTTCTTCTCGCCACCAGGTTTCAACTGGGGGAAATACGCTTAGATGTTCACTCTCCAGATTGGATGTGTTAATCAGCTCTCAACAACTGAAGCTTAGTTTAACAACAGTAACAAAAAAGCATATTTTTCCTTAGCAGCACAAATTCAGTACTTATATTCCCATAATATAGAAGTAAGGCTTCCCCTCCCACCCGCTACTACCTCTAGGTCTAATCTGAACTTTTCTCTGATCTTGGTCCCGACCATTGGAAGCAACGCATGTAAAGAAGCCGGCATCTTCAGCTGTCAGACGACTGATCAGCAAGGCACCATCAGGTTGTTGCCTATGCCTGGAAATTAAAATTGCCATGAATTTCAGAAGAGGAAAAACATTTATTCATAGAGTTCAGACTCTTGTTTTTGAGAAGCTAATGGCTCAAAATGTATTATGGATGTGATTTATGAGCCCCTAAGGTTCAAAAATGTTAATAGCCTCTCCAGGATCAGGTGTCTCAGTCCTGCCTGATTGCTGCAAGCTAATTAAAAGTAGCTGGGTTGTTACATTGCACTAAGCCATAGTTTATTGAGTAAGCCACAGTTGGCTGGGTACATAAGGAACATATAAGCTGTAATGGTATTTGGTTTTAGCTTTTCATCATGTGAATCTGACCAATTTTAAAACTAATCTTTTTGAGCAGCTGGTAGTATGTTGGTGGTTCCACCTAAAATGTGCAGGAGTCAAAAATACAAAAAGCACTGAGCTGAGTACAATTTCAATGCTTTATGCAGGGTACCTGGCCATGCAGACTACTGTAAGCAGTAAGGACAGCCAGTATTCAAGCTATCAAACAACAGCTTTTGCCAGATCACTTTAGTGCACAAAAATTGAGTAAGTCATTAAAATGAATGAGTTGCTACTTGGATGGATGAACCAGGACTGTATAATATAGGGATAGCCTCTGGGAAATTATGACATCACATTGATAGCCTGTCTGTCTTCAGACTGTTCTAAATGATGTACATGGGAGGGGTCCCCCTATTTTATCCTCACAATAAGAACCTAGTGAGATAGGATGAACTAAGAGTTAGCGACTGGCCCAAAGTCATTTTGAAAGCCATGATTGAGAGAGGTTTTGAAGCTGCACAGTGCTAATCGCTGTCCACCACATTACACTCTGCTCTACCCTGGTCATGTTTAGGATATACTGAAGCTCATTTAAAATAGAGGAGAGAAAGGCTTTTCCCAGAATTAAAAAAACCAGTGCATTTCAGGCCATCTTATTCAGCCTCCTTTATCTGGAGCTGCTTCATTAGTGCGATATGCTCTACAAGTAAGCTTAGGGCAGTATGGAGGGGAATAAATGGTATGAAAAAAAGGAAGTAAGTGCAAGGAACTGGACAGAGAGCCATCTGGGCCTGGAGGAAAAGAAGGAATAATAGAGATCGAATGCAGAAAGTCAGTGAGAGTGGTTATAGATTGCAGAGAAAAAGTTGTGGTTGCTTTACACAATGCTTTAACCTGACTACTGCGTTAATCCATTTTCTGGGTTCACACAACGCACTGAATCATAAACTACAGGTAGTACTCAGGTTATTACCACTTGCTCAGCAACCATTCAAAGCTACGACGGCGCTGAATGACCCTGGGAGATGGGGCCCAGAGACGCTGCCTAGGTAACGGTCAAATAAGAGCATAGCCCACAGCTGGATAGTGGGCAGGGCAAGAGGCTCAGAAAAGATCTTCCCTAATTTCTCGGGGTGTAAAGGAGTCAGGGAGAGAATTGTACTTTCAGACTTGCAAGATTCTGTTAATGTAGCCTTACAATAAAATAGAATTAGCAGCTACGACGGCGCTGAATGACCCTGGGAGATGGGGCCCAGAGACACTGCCTAGGTAACGGTCAAATAAGAGCATAGCCCACAGCTGGATAGTGGGCAGGGCAAGAGGCTCAGAAAAGATCTTCCCTAATTTCTCGGGGTGTAAAGGAGTCAGGGAGAGAATTGTACTTTCAGACTTGCAAGATTCTGTTAATGTAGCCTTACAATAAAATAGAATTAGCTTATCTGGTCATGTTTCCTGTCTGGTCTACCTGGTAAGGCTGACACAGAACAAAGGTCCTCAGAGTTCCAGCTGTTGCAGTGTCCCTGCGGTCACATGATCATGAGCTGGGAGCTTAGTGCCCAGCTCGCAATTACGATGTCACAGTGAGCTGTGGTCACGTGATTGAAATTTCAACATTTCCTGTCTGCTTTTTTACCTGCCTGCGAAAAGTCAATGGGGAAGTCAGAAGTTACTCCTGCTGCTTTTTTGCCTGCCCGTGCTCCATAGCACCTGCCTGCAGCACTCCCCCATGGCACCCACACACCCACCCACACTCTGTAAAGCCTGCCCATGGCAACCCCCACCTTCTGCGGCACCTGCCCTCAGCACCCACCCTGTCCCCCTCTGGCACCCTCCCGTGCTCCACAGTGCCTGCCCACGGCCCTCCTGCCCTCACTGCAGCACCCTTGCACCTGCTGACCTGCTTGCCTGGGACTCCTGCCTCTTCCTGCTTAACCACCCACATGGCCCTGGGGTTATGATGGCAACTGGGACTGCCGGGATTGCCATTGCTAAGCAATGTGGTCACGTGACATTGTGCTTTATGACCACATTACTTAGTGATGGAAATTCCAGCCTCAATAGCAGTTATAACCCAAGGACTACCTGTAACAAAATGGGCTGTATTTGCCCAACACATTCAGCAACACAAAACAAACCAAGGTTAAGGGTAACCAAGCTTATTGTGTTATATGAATACAATCAGACTTTAACTGATTTGGTTAAGCATGTTATATGAACCCATCTAGTATGCAACTAACAGTTACAGAGACTTCTAGCTCAAGAAAAAACAGCATATTATCACAAAAGGTTGTACAGAAATTTATGTGGGAATGGTGACTGGAAAAATGTAAGGAAGGCAGGAGAAAGGAATGCAGGAAGATGTGAATCAGAAGTGCTAAAAAGGGGTACTGAAATATGAAGATTTAGTTGTAGAGCAACACAAAGAGAGTGAAGAAAGCATGCTAAGGGACAAAAACAGGGAAGAGTATGGTTTACAAAGGCTTTTAATTTGACCTTATTTCTAGAGAGATTTGAGTTTTGCACCCTTAGTACAGAGAGAACAAAATGAGGAAGTGACATCGTCAAAGTTATAACTTACCTGGGGGATGAAATAGGACGGCCATCCTTCTGCCATTCAATGGTTAAAGAGGGTGAAGCCTCTACACGGCAAGGCAGTCGGACTTGCTCACCAACACTGGCATCAACTATGGAAGGCTCATTCGTATACATTTTTAATCTGCGAAGCAGACGTGTTAGATATTTTAAGAAAGGATCAGAAGTCCGTCGCTGATTTTAATCACTGTTTCCCGGTGAGTGCTGGGGGATTTCCCTAACAATCTGGTGGCCTAGTTGGCAGAGGGCCTGATTTGCCATTGGCAAGAGACGGTGTCTCGGGCCCAAGGCAAGATCATTCCAGAGCAGCTCCTTTCTGCCTCTGGGTGGCTTCTTGGTTTTTGAGAAAATACCTAAGAAATAACGTGGTAGAAGTGATGCCTGGAACACAAGTGGAGAAAGCAAAAAGTGAATCTGTTGAGCATGAGCATGTACCTGAGCATGCGTTTACTCTGTGGCAACAAGGGAGGCAAAGTGATCTTCTCTCTTACTGGGTTGTCAGGTTGTCCAACAGCCCCTTTTTGGGTGGCTTTCCCCTTTGGGTAAGAGCTGCCCTGTAGAATTGCCATCTGACTGCTATAAGTAGTTAGTACATTTTGCTGGTAAAGTCACTCAGATTTTCTCAAGTCTGGGCTCCACTTGGGCAGGGTATTGTGTGGTAGCCATGGCATCATCTTGCTGTGTTATTTGGGATTCTTTTTGGCTTGTAACCTCTGCAGACATGGATAGGGTGATCTCTATGATGTCCTCAGCTACTTGCAAGTTGGATCTTTGCCCCTCCTGGCTTCTTTGGGCAGCTGGAGGGTGCTGGTTCCCTGGATCCAGGAGGTGGTAAATGCTTTGTTGTGGGAGGAGATGATGCCAGCAACTCTTAAATAGGAGGTGGTGCATCCCTTCCTCAAGAGGTCCTTCTAGGATTCAAAGTTATTAGACAACTATTGCCCAGTCTCCAATCTTTTCTTTTACATAATGTCCTAGAGGAACCAGATTATCTAGATCCTTATCAGGAAGGGTTTAGGAATGGGCTTGGGGCACAGACAGCATTGGTCGCTCTAGTGGATGACCTTTGTTGAGATGTGGATGGGGATAGTGAACCTGTCCTGGTCCTTTTGGACTCTCAGCAGCCTTTAATACCGTTGACCATGGTATCCTTCTGGACCATCTGCAAGGGTCATGACTGGGTGTGTGTGTTGTTTTGCAGTGATTCTGCTCCTTCCTTAACAAGTGGTTCCAGTTGGTAGTAGGAGAGGAGAGATTGGCATGGTGGTTGCTCTTTTGTAGGGTACTGTCAGCCCCACTAATACACCAGGCCAGGAAATTAGCTCCACAGGAAGGCTAAAACTACTTTTAATGAGATTGGTTATAATAACAGAATCTTGCAAGTCTGATTGTGCTGTACCTCTTTCGCCTTCTTATACTTCAGTGAATTAGGGAGGTGTCTGCCTAAGTTGCTTCTGAATGTTATTTTGTTCTGGACTTAAAAAAAATGTTTCAGCCTCTTTTGTCTAGGTAATGGTTCCTGCATATTTCCATCAAGGTTATCTTCCTTACTCTCTACAGGTACTGCAGGATTGGTTCTTTCCCCGTTATTTAAGAACTACATGAAGCCACTGGGGGAGACCATCCAATGGATTAGGGTCTGGTATTACCAGTATGCTTTTGATACCTAGCTTTACATGGCAAGTCCAGATCACAATGAAAATGCTGTTGAAGTCTTGGCCCAGTGCTTGGAGGCTTTGAGGGTCTTCACGGGAGAATTGAATGCTAGCAAGATGGAGCTACTGTTTGTACATCAGGGTTCTCCTTCACTCTCAGTGGTGACTCTCAGTGGGCTTGCACTACCCTTGAAAGAGCAGGTTTGTGACTTGAGGGTTCCCCTGGACCTTTGCCAGATAAACCTTCAGCTGGTGCACTAGTTGCAGCCTTATCTGGGACGTGAGGACTTTGCTAAGGTGATTCATGCCCTTATCGTCATCCATGTAGATTACTGTAATAGGCTCTATATGGGGCTTTAAAAATGATCCAGAATTCTCAGTTGCACAAAATGCAGCAGCCAGAGTGCTCACCAGCAGTTGTAGGTGGGAATACATTACATCTTATTGCGGGCTCTACACTGGCTTCATGTTAGCTTCAAGTGCAATTTAAAGTGCTGATTTTAACCTAGAGAGTCATTTATGATTTTGCTCCAAGTTACTTGCAGGATCCCATTCTCCACTGGAGTCACCCTGACCAATTTGATAGTGCAGAGAACAAACTGGTTGTTCCCCATTTTCAGCAAGTCAGGGAGGGCCAAAGCTGGAAGTGTTGCTTTTCCTCCTATTGGAGGTTAGATTAACCCTGACATTATCTGCCTTTCAGAAGAAGCTGAAAATGAGGTATAAATTTGATAAAATAAATGCATCTGTATAACATAATTGAACTCCTTCCCTTCTCCCCAGGGATGTGCTGCTGCATATGTATCAGCCTTTCATCTTGATTTGAGCATAAATGGGCCATTGCAGAGATTCCTCTTCATCCAGTGTGCAGCTCTCTCTCAACACTTTACAAAATGCAGGCTCATATAAACACATCCCCCTTAACTGTTCCTTTGGCTACAGGCCCAGAGAATGCCGCTAGCCACAAGAATCCCGTGTAACGGAATGTTCTCCTTATAACGTATCTGGCTGTATCTGATGCTTTCTGCAAGAATTTCAACAAAATGCTTCTGTTTTATCATGCAGCTATCTGGGGCCTCCACCAGCCAGTTAATCCAGACACAGTAGGTTAGAAGTTTCACTCATATACTGTAAGCCAAGAATAAAGAAGTTGAATGCTTACAACACATGATTGCAAAACCAGATGAATTCCTCTCCCTTTGATAATGTCCAATGTATGCACTTTAGTTCTTGTCTGGAGGACTATTTCCAACTATTGAGGCTAGTAGCAATAGCTAGGACAGAGATAGATGACTAGAACTGGGAATGAGAGATTGCCTATTCCATTTTTACATTTTCTTCTGGGCAGGTTTCTCTGCAGAAGATGGAGTGATAGCGACTGCTATCTCTGAAACTGTGTACTAATGCTCAACCCTACTGCCATACTGAGCCATTAAAAAAAAGACTTGGGTTGCTAAAGATAAACTCTTCTATTTCAGCACCTATCCCACCACAGCATTTCTCAGCCCTTATTAGTGAAGCAACATTCTAGAATGTGACTCACAGTTGCTATTATGAGATGATACCCACCTACACAAAAGAAGCAATTTTGAGCTGGTGCTTGTGAACCTGGGTTGCAAGCAGGCCACTGAGTTTTATTACAAAACTGTCCAGTGATCAATGAAAATAAGCTAGTTAAATAATCACTTGTCAGTATGAGAAACCTTGTTTTACTAGGATCTGTTTCCTGCAATATGGTTTTATTTCTGTAATGAATATTTATTTAAGACACTAATCGATTTCTTAATGATTGTTTCCTTCTAACTGAAAGATCCTTGAGGGGTCAAACAAAATGCAGAAAACTGCCTAAGGCATAAAATGATTTCATTAAAACACTTTGGTATCAATAGTTACTTAAATCCCATAGGTTCTTTCACAGTTGCCCGATCAGGTCCATCCAGTCAGAAGAAAGAAAAAGCTTCTAAGTAAAATTAGGTTAGAGTTGTGTTGTAGCTGCAAAGAAAATGCAGAGTTGATTTCTAAGCATTAAGATTAGATACAAGAGCACTATGATTAAATAGCCTGCTCTTATTTGATCAGTTTCCAAATGCATTTCTAAAAAGCACACAGTACTAAGGGGCCATCGCAATCTGCAGAACATGAGCTGATTTGGGAAGTTGAAAGATATACCTGTATGTTATTTGAGGATGCAGAGAAGAAACACGTGACCACCTGTCATTAGCTCTTGTGCCAAACACTCTGTGCTGGTGATTTTGATCATGAGTAAGTTGATGCCTTCTTCCGTGGGTGAGGGTAGATTGAGGAATTTCTATACAAAGAAATAGAACAAAGAAACCATCAAGATTTGACTGTTTCAGCAAGCTTTTGGGGCTGACAGAAGGAATGGTTCCATCCAGTGTTTATTTGGCTATGGGATTTTTTTGGTGCTAATACGATTATCTTTCCCATAAGATAGAGGAGAACTTTCTAAGGATTGGAAGCATGGAGCAAGAAAGTTGTTCCCTGGCTAAAGATAGCATATGGTTTGCAGTCTGGGGCAATTTGGATTGATAACCCACAAAAGGATATTATTCTCCATTGATGAAAAAAGAATTGTAGAATGACTTGCTGGCTGCATCAGGACAAGCAGTTTCTTGCTTTATGGCTGTTTTGACTAACAAAGAACAAATAACCTTTGATCCGCAACTCAATCTGTCTGTGTTCCATCCTCCCATTTGAAATAATGCACATGTAGATCCCAGCATCCTCAGTCTTGAGATGGCTAATCACCAAGGAGTTGTCAGACTGGTAGGTATGTCTACCGGGGAAGAAAATGAAAGGATTGTCAAATAGTAAGATAGGCTGGAAATCTCACCAGCTATGCAGTCAGCGTCAAATGCATATTAATAGTAATTACGCTGATCAGTTACTGAAATAAGAGTAAGTGGGCAGTGCTAATAATGAATGGCTGGCCAAAATTTTTACCGGTTAGGAACAGGGAAGTAATGCAGCAATGGAAACTTGCATGTAAACCTCGCTGAAGTTCATAACATGAACAGAGGTCATAGATTTTGATACTGACAAATTTAAAATGTAAGAACTATGACCTCAAACTTCCACTCGTAGGGTGTGTGGGGTGGATCCAGAGGTCAGACCTACCTATCAGATGAGACCGGCTGTCCATCTTTCTGCCATTCAACTCTAGAGAAGTGGGAATTGCTTGTCTTACAGAGAAGACGAATACTTTGTCCTAAGCCTGCCTCCACTGCAGAAGATTCTGATCCATCCAAGAGGATCCTGAAAGATATGCAGCAGTTTCCCCCAAAATGGGTATGCATAGAAATGGTAAAAACAGAAAACTCTAAACATTGTCAAAACTTTTCTGCAAGCCCAACTAATCATTTACCATGCCATTTACCTAGATTTATTTAAAAGTGTGTCTGAATCAAACTGCCATGTTCAAATGCTTTTTAGAATGTGCTGTACAGCAGTTGTACTAGCTTAAACCGATGTTGCTCAAAATGGTCCAAGACAAAGTGTGATTCTCCATAGACTTAGAACAAAGATTGATATAAGATTCTGCATTATGGATTAATTCACAGGACTCAAGAAAGATTACCTTGTTTCTGTGTTTGCATGTCACATTAAGCCCTAATTTTGCCTAGCAGCAAATGAGTGGCATGCTACTGCATGTTGCTTAGATCAGCCCCACTGGTTCTCCCTGCAAGCAGAGACAGCTAATAAATGATAGGTGGCTCCACTTGTATGTTTAGTGCATTTTGCAAACCAGGGACACTGGTCTATTCTTCCTGGAATGAGCCAAAGTTCCCATAACATATAGCCCTCCATGATTTCTTAGTTGCACCTGTTTTCAGGAAAAACCAGCAGGCAAGATCTACTAGTGCATGCACCCGCACTCTGTTCCTTTGCTGCTAAGCACAATGGTGGCTTAACATTACACGCAGACAATCACTATATGCTCTTACAGGTTGCTTATTCAGATAATGTGTTATTTATCCTTGTGTCAAGATCCTCCAGAACAAAGCTAAGGAATGCAGAGAGTGGTGCAAAGGAAAGAAGAGCAAGAGGGAAGTCCTTTCGTAACTTGGGTGTCAACCATAAAAAATGAACACTATTAAGGGGAAATCATCATGGTAATGGGTAGACAACATTTGGGTATGGAGGAATTTTGGTAGCAGGGTTAGATAGGAACTTGTATGAAGCATGATTCTAAAAAGTTAGCAAGACATCCTCAATATTTCTGTGGGAAACCGTGCTAACACAAATACGTACCTGTTCAGAGAATATTGAAAAGTAGAATCTGGCGGGGTTTGATACTCAAATCTTTTCCCTGTTAATCCATCTGCTCCAGATTCCCTCCTCCACTCTTCACGCTCATGTTGAATGGTCTGACCATTCACAGTCAGCTGCTTCTCAGAGTGTTCAGAAATGACAGTCTCACTCAAACCATGCAAATGATCTACTGGGTCTCTTCTTTTTTCCTCAAGAGTTCTTGAGCGATGAGAACTTTCTGGGTGGTTCTCTAGCATGCTAGTTCCTTGCTCAGACTCAGGTAAGGCATCTTGACTGGGAAAAATCCTACCATCATAACCTCCATTTCCTGTTCTATGACTGATGGTTCTTCCAAATTGTTGTGGCTTTTCCTCTATGTTCCCTTCTTGCAGCTGAGAACTAGAGTGGACGTTAGGAATTGCAACATGGTGATGAAGACTCACATGGCTTCTTCCCATTGATCCATGGCATGTTTTCATGCATTCTTCTTCAGAAGCAAAGTTGTTCTTATTCCCATGACAGCTTCCGTACCAAAAGCGATTACATTTTCCAACACTGCTTACAAAATACCAGCGGGTTGTCCAATCTGTGCAGGGACCATGGGCACTGGGTAACAGGCATTGGACAGGATAAACTAACAGAAAAAGTCAGAAGAGAAGCCATCTTTATATGTTAAGTTGATACACAAATATCTTGATCACATCCCTTGCTCCCAATCACTATTTATAGTTACAAGTTTGTAAATCAAACACTATAGTGAGTAGTCAGACTTAGCTATTTCATGCTGTCAATTTCTTTGGCTTCCTATACTGTCCTTTTTTTTCTGTGCTCTGCATGAAGCTGCTTCCCCTAAAGCAGTGTTTCCCAACCTTGGCAATTCCCAGGTGTGTAGACCTCAAATCCCAGAATTCCAGTCAACATCACCATTGATGAGAATTCCAGGAGTTGAAGTTCACACACCTGGAAGTTGCCAAGGTTGGGAAACACTGTTCCAAAGGGAATCTTGTTCAGCTAGGGTGGCTGAACAAGATTATCCTCAAAACAGAGATGTCCTGGTGAGTTTTATAAAGAACACCGAATACGGAAACTCTGTAAAACCTTACTACAAAAGCACAAAATATTTTTCTATGCAAGAAATATAGTCAACAGAATTCAGACATAAGGATACTTATATACTTCAGATCTATATTGAATTCTGACACAGATTTTTTTTTAAATCAGATTTTGGATTATATAGTATATAAGTAGTCCTCGTTCAGCGACCACTTGTTCAGCAACCATTCAAAGTTACGACGGAGCTGAACGAGGGGACTTATGACTGTTCCTCATAGTTGCGGCAGTCGCTGCATCCTTACAGTTACATGATCACCACTTGCAACCTTCACTGCTGGCTTCTGACAAGCAAAATCAGTGGGGAAGCTGGCAGGAGGTTGCAAATGATGATCATGTGACTGCAGGATGCTGTGACTGCACAGGATTTGCCTAACAATGGCAACTGGAGCTGCTGTAACTGCTGTTCTAAGTCAACGGAGTCATGTGATGTTGCACTTTACAACCATGTTGCTTAGCGACAGAATTGCCAATCCCAATTACCATCATTAAGCGAGGACTACCTGTCTATATAAAACACCACCAAAATGATTCCATTGGTTGCTGCCATTTTGCTAGAAAGTACTAGGTGAACCCACTTTTCAAAATCCAAGGGTCACTTACATTGGCTGAGTCTTGTGGGACATCCTTCCCCTTGTGGCCCTAAAGCAGAGGCAATATTGTCATAGCAACAACCATACATAGAGCCTCGGCATTCCTCTGTTGGCACCTGCTGGGCCAGAACTTGGCTTGCCTTAGATAAAACCAGATGTTACTCAGATTATACCATTCAACAGTGTTTATGAAGTAGCACATTCAACTGAATCAATCCCAGAAACAATTCATAATTTAGTTACATTTTTCCTTACAGAATAAAATATCAACAAGAGAAGATACCCTTCTAATTTTAATGTGAGGAATGGAAATAACCCTTTAGACACTGAATGACAGCAAAGCACTTCATGATATTTTCCTCTCTCTTGGAGAGAACCTGGAGGAATTGTCTGTAGAAACTGAAAAACCGTAGAATTATGGTGTTGGAAGGAACTATGAGGATCACCTAGTCCAACACTCTGCAATGTGCAGGAATACCAATTAAATCATTCTTGAGAGATGGCTGTCTAGCCTCTACTTGAAATTTCTAGATATGCCGAATCTGCAACCTCTGCAGGTAGACTATTTCACTGTTGTACTTTTTTTCCCTTATATTTAAGCTACTAAAATCTTAGTAGCTGCAACCTGTATCCATTACTTCTGGTCCTAGTTTCTGTGGCAATGGAAAACAGTTCCTGGCCATCTTCCCTATGATCAACTTTTATGTACCTGAATATTAACATTCTGTCTCCCCTCAGC